CAGGTCCACTTTCCCCGTGCTACTTTCTCCGTTTCCAGGATCCTTTAATCCTTCATGATCTTACCCGGCTGTAACAATCCTCTGCCTTGTTCTCTGCTGGGGAGGGTGGTGACGTCAGCCGAGTGCTAAAGGTTAGTGCAGAAACTTGTCCTTTTTCGTGCGGTAACACGCTCTTTCGTTTCCAGTCATGTTCTCCACAAGAATGCCTTTCTGTCTGCAGCTCCGTGCTCCTGGGCTGCTTGCTGTGCTCCTGGGGCACTCCCTGTCCCTCTGCCTTCTCCACCCTGGCCCGAACGCCCGCAGCCCCGCAGCCCCCAGGCTGCTCCGTCTCTGCTCCCTCCAGAGGAGTCACCAAAGAGAACTATCACAATTGCCGGCATTCTCTGTGTTTTGTTCCCTTTCCTGTTTTCCTCAAGCTTTTTTTGCCCTTTCATTGGTTTTCTCATGCGGGTATTTTTGTTGACAGTGGCCAGACATGGTGTATGAGTCTCGTACACCTTTGTGTCTCCTTTCTTCTTTTTCTCTAATGTAACCAGAGAACACACACGGTCCCAGAGGCTTTTCTATTTTGCTTGTGGGCCCAGGGAGGTGTCCCGCAGTCATGTTACGACACGGATTAAAGGACTCATTGGTTCGCTCTTCCATTTGACAGTTGGCATTTGGCAGCAAACACCCTGGAGGCTGTGGCGTGGCGGCCGGGCGCTGGTCAGCAGGGCAGGTTTGCCGCTGTCACTGCTGATGGCTCAGCTCTTCAGCTTGGGCTCGCTCTGCGCCGCCGCCACAGGAGAGCACATCCCCTTCCTGATGCAGCCAACAGGGTGAATCACACTGAACGGGGAGAATTCGTACCGGTCACGGGTCTCCTGCCTGACCCACAAAGAGCTGTTGGTGTTTTCCAGCTGGGCTCAGGTGACCAGCCAGCGCCAGCTGTTGCTCTGGGGATGAGCACTGCAAGGCCCATCCCTGGTGTGCATTCCCAGTTCAGACTGGTGGGCACTGGGGGCAGAGTGCTTCATGCCCAGCCTGTCCTCGGGCACCTCCTGCTCCCACCTCCCACCCCAGCCCCTCCGGTGTGCAGAGCCAGGCTCATCGTGCCCCGGGCTGGGGTGTCCTGGTGCTGGGACCCGGACTCGCTGCCCCCCGCTCGCTGCCGACCCGTGGGCTCTGTTGGAAGAAGCCCAGGCAGTGCCGGAGCCAGCGCTGAGCCCAGTCCTGGCTGGGCTCAGTCTTTAGGCTGGGCCTGGCAGCGGTGCGGGTGGCAGACCAGTAACTGTGGGTGGCTGAGTGAGGACTCGCCGGCTCAGTGGTGGGGCAGGGCAGTGGCCCCTGCCCCCAGGGCTGGAGAACACGGTTCCTCCTCTCCCGTGGAGGGCTCTGGGCCATTCTGGTTTATCTGCCCAGCCCAGGGGCTCGGCACAGCCCCCTGCAGCGTGTCCCCCAGGGCTCTGCAGCGCTCCCATTGTCACCCGCTCCCAGACGTGTTCCCGTATCAGCAGGGTGTCCATCTGCCCTGAAAGCAGAGCCCGAGTCTCCCAGTCTGTGTCCGGGCACCAGAGAGTCAATCCTGACCCCAGGCAGGGGTGGGACAGCAGTGAGGGACAGACCACCAAGCTCCTGAGGGGTAAAAGGGCCCATCCAAGGCCGATTCTGTTCTTTATCTTCCCACCGTCACTTGGTACCAGCCTGTGGGTACCCTGCAGTGCTCTGGTCTGGCTGCAGCCCGCCGGTGGTTTAGGCTGTGATCCCAGGCTGGGCTTTGCTGAGCTCCTGATAACCCTTCTCGCATCCCTCTGGTGCTTTCACACCCACACATCACCCTCTGTTCCTGCCCCCTTACACCTCCATCCTCCCCAGGTTAGGGCCTCGCATCGGGGTACCCGCCGCAGGGCCGGTGCTGAGCCGTGTCCCGCGTATGCGTGGGGAGTGCCCGGACCCGACACCGCCGCCAGAATCCTGTAGCTTCTTCCCCTGCGTGTCCATGGCACTCCCGGAGCATCAGATCCCACCCGTGTGGTGCATCGAGGTGTGGGAGCCGGCTCTGTCTTTGCCTTGTGTCATTCCCTCCGTCTTTGCCGCCGTCCCGCTGCCCATGCGCCGGCTCTGCCCCAGCTCCGGCCGCGGGTGCCGCAGGGGAGGCGTGGGGTGACGGGACAGCAGCTGAGAGACACAGACCCCGGCCTCTCCCGCCGAGGTTCTGCCCGACAGCTGGAGGAAAGAGACGTGGAAACTTGTTTTTTAGCTGAGAATACCCTGATGCTCCTGTAATAAGATCTGCAACTGAAAATGACCCTCTGTGTGCTGGAAACAGGTGTCAGGGTGGAAACGTGTGGTGTAGGTGCTGGCTGAGGCCCTGCACTTCAGTCACCTCTGACCTGTAGTTGTGTTGTGCTTTTTCACAGTTCGTGGAATGATGTGTTAGTCCGTGACCCACCAAAACAGCCTGAAACCCTTCACTCTCCTCGGCAGAGAAATGACCTCCAAGCCATTTCTCACCCGGACCTCTCTTTTGCCCTAATGGTGACATTCAGGGATGTGTATTTTAACATTAGATTTTGACAAGGAAGCTCTCTGGGGTGCCGTGGCGGTGGCTGTAACGGACCCCTGGAGGTCTGACCCCCGTGCAGCGCGTGGGGGGAGTGCAGACAGAGGTGGGGTGACGTTTGCACACAGGCGCTCTGGTACTGGGTCGCTGTGCCATGCTGTCCGCCCGCCGGCGTTTCTCTTGCCGGAGGGGTGGGAGGGGTGAACTGGCCTCCCCAAGGCGTTGCAGGCAGGACGGCTCGAGAGTCTCGGTGCTTCGTGATACGGTCACACATCACGGTGACAGCTTGGCTGCGCGGCATCGAGGGCTGCGAGTGCTAGGGGGATGAGCCCCCGTGTGCGGGGAGGGCTGCGTGCCCCCAGGGCAGCGCACCTCTTGGGGAGCCTTCGGGGCCGTCCCTGTTTGGCCAGTGCAGGTTTCAGGGTCTGGGATCTGTGAAGCTGCTGTGACAAAACCTGTGTGAGCTGGAACAGGGAAGTGGTAGCGCTGCCTAAATTGCAAAGTGGAGGAAGTTTTGTGTAAGAGGGTAGCTTGTTGTGAGTTCAGAGATGCTTGGTTATGTAGCAGGAAGGAAAAACGCTGTTTGGTGTCTGTAAGCTCCTGATACGGTGTCTCCTAACACCGACGAACAGTTTTGGGCACCTCAACCCGAGAGAGATCTGGAGGGGCTGGAGCGAGGGCAGAGAAGAGCGACGAGGCTGGGGAAGGGCTGAAGAATCAATCCTGTGAGGAGCCAGGGAAGGAGCTGGGAGTGTTCAGGGTGAGGAGGAGGAGGCTGAGGGGAGCCCTCATCCCTCTCTGCAGCTCCTGACAGGACATTGCAGAGAGGCCGGGGCTGGGCTCTGCTCCCAGGGGATCAGGGACAGGACAAGAGGGAACGGCTGGAAACTGCCCCAGGGGAGGGTCAGGCTGGGCAGGAGGAGAAAATGTTTCCCAGCAAGAGTGGTCCGAGAGTGGAACAGGCTGCCCAGGGAGGGGGGAGTCCCCATCCCTGGGGGGGTTTCAGGGCCGTTGGGATGAGCTGTGGGGGATGTGGGATAGGGGAGAACTTTGTAGAGTCGGGCTGAGGGTTGGACTCGCTGACCCCGAGGGGCTTTACCAACCTGAAGGATTCTGTGACTCTGTGAACAGCCGTTCCAACACACGTTCTCTTTGCCGTAATCACTTCAGGTATTTTTGCCAGTCAGGATTTCCTCTCGCTATCCTGGTGATTTGTTATAATTATTTTGTTCTCCTTAATTTGCTTCTGCCGGAACAGTCAGGTCCCTCGTGGGATCCAGGGCACTGTGCTGGATCCAGGGTCTCGCCGTTCCCGGGACGGGTCTGGGGGTGGGAGGGGGCAGAGCCGGGCACCAGGGCGCTGTCTGCAGCCTGGGCAGCTGGCGCGGGCAGAGGCCACAGCCCGGGTGGTGGTTTAGGGCTGAACCCGGGGTGCTCGGGGGCGCAGGCTGAGAAGCAGGGTATGAGGAATTGCTGGTGTGTGTCAATGACACGTCCAGGAGGATGACGCCCGCGCTGTGCCCGCGGCCACACGGCGCCAGGAGGATGCGGAGCGGCGGCTCAGCTCCCCCCTGCACCTCCTGCCGCTGCCTCGGCCACGGGCACAACCCCAAAACGTGCCCCGGCCCCAGGTCTCGGCAGTGCCCAGCCTGGCCCTGCCCAGCAGAGGAGAAACCGTTTCCCTTCACATCTTCCTTTGCCTCTTCCCGAGGCGTATATTCGTGGTGGGTGTGAAGTCACAGGTTTCCACGAGCAGCTCAGGAAATAAAAACACTTGGAGCATCTCTGCAGTGTGTGTGGAGAAACCGTCGTGTGAATCCCCTGGCAGGTTCCTGTCCGGTGCCAGCACAACCCCGGTTCTGCCTTTCTTACTCTTCTCCCCGCCGTTGGGGTGGAAGCGCAGCGGAGGAATGCTGCTGCTGTAGACTTTTCCATTTAGGAAGAGATGTTTTTTTCGGTGTTGGTTTGGTGACTTCATTTACTTTTTCCATCCACCCTGTGGAGTAAGAGTAGCAAGAAAGAAGAAACTTGGTTTACTGCCTGTGTTAGAAGTTTTGCAACTTTCCCTGTCTGAAGAGTTTCCTGAAATAACCCCAGCACCTTGTTACTCAGAACAGACTGGTTTTATCCATGCTGCTCTGCTTTTGCAAACCCCTTGGGAGGGGACTGCTGTGACCAGTAGGTCCTCGGTGACTCTGCTGCTCAGGCCGCTGATTCAGGGGCCTCTCCCACATCTCCCACCCATCTCTGGTTGTGGCCGTTGTGCTCCCAGCAGGGACATCCTGGACAAGGGGGCTCTGGGTTGCCTTTGCTGCTCCTTGGGGCCCTTCCGCCGCCCTCCTGTCAGACAGTGCTGTGCTCGCGGTGGCAAAGCTCAGCCGTGGCTCAGGGACCGAACCTCTCCGCCTGGGACCCCGCGGGCGCCTGTCCCCGCGCTCTGCCTCGCGGCCCCGGCACCTCCAGCTCAGCCGGGCCAGGCCTGGGCGCGTTCTCATGTGAAATAGCCCATCGCTCTCCTTTTGGTCACCTTTAGTAAAAGGGTGAACGGCTGCATGGGTAGTGATGCCAAGCCCTTGAACTATGAGCTTTTAACTTCTAAAACCAGTCGGATGAAAGCAAGGGTAAAGGGAAATAATCATAGAAAGAGAAGAAACGCTGAAGCAGAATTTAAAGAAAATAAAGTGACATTAAAAAGTCTGTCAGAGGGGGAGATTTTGGGGTGTTGTTATAGGTTCCCACAGATCAGAAAATGAAAACAAAATATGGAAAAAATAAGGTTAAGCATTTGAATACACTGAGGTGCAAGGGGGTTCCCTTTTTTTGGGTATTAATTATGTTTGCAGTTTGCAGTGAGGATAATCAGTTCTGTGATAGATTATCTGGAAAGCATCCAAGTATTTAATATTTGCCACCAGAGTTATTTTTAAAAGCTGCTTTGTTGCCAGCCCTCCCCGGAGACTGGGACTTGAAGTGTGTTTTGTTGTGCAGTGCTTTTCCAGAGCCAAGGGGATCAGCTGCAGGACTTAGCTCTTTCTTTTCATGCAATCTATTTTTTACTACCCCTTACTGGTTTTACAGCTTTTGTTTGCTGTCGTTTGACTTTCCAGGATGAGTTTACTTGTGAACCCACTGCCCTCAGCCCATCAGGCAGGCTTTTCTCTCTGCTCCACAGGAGGTGGGGGCACCCCGTGTGGTTTTAACTGAGGGTATTCCTGAAAGCAAGATGAAATTGTTTGAACTGAGGTGGTGGAACTCACGCACAGGTCAGCTTTGCTGGAAGCAGGCAGTGAAGTTCTCCTCTCTGTGTGTATCCCGCGGGTCTGGCATCAAACCAGAGTTTGCACGCTGGATCCAGCGTCCCCCTCGTTACCCTTCTCGTTCGGGTGGGTGATGCTCGATCCTCCATCCACCGACCCCAGGTTCCCCCCCACAGACGGGCGAGCACCCTTCTGCCCTCAGCCGAGGCCCAAACAAACCCCTACCACCCCAACTCCTGCTCACGCCGGGGCTGTTTTGCCTTTTGCTTCAGGTCCACTTTCCCCGTGCTACTTTCTCCGTTTCCAGGATCCTTTAATCCTTCATGATCTTACCCGGCTGTAACAATCCTCTGCCTTGTTCTCTGCTGGGGAGGGTGGTGACGTCAGCCGAGTGCTAAAGGTTAGTGCAGAAACTTGTCCTTTTTCGTGCGGTAACACGCTCTTTCGTTTCCAGTCATGTTCTCCACAAGAATGCCTTTCTGTCTGCAGCTCCGTGCTCCTGGGCTGCTTGCTGTGCTCCTGGGGCACTCCCTGTCCCTCTGCCTTCTCCACCCTGGCCCGAACGCCCGCAGCCCCGCAGCCCCCAGGCTGCTCCGTCTCTGCTCCCTCCAGAGGAGTCACCAAAGAGAACTATCACAATTGCCGGCATTCTCTGTGTTTTGTTCCCTTTCCTGTTTTCCTCAAGCTTTTTTTGCCCTTTCATTGGTTTTCTCATGCGGGTATTTTTGTTGACAGTGGCCAGACATGGTGTATGAGTCTCGTACACCTTTGTGTCTCCTTTCTTCTTTTTCTCTAATGTAACCAGAGAACACACACGGTCCCAGAGGCTTTTCTATTTTGCTTGTGGGCCCAGGGAGGTGTCCCGCAGTCATGTTACGACACGGATTAAAGGACTCATTGGTTCGCTCTTCCATTTGACAGTTGGCATTTGGCAGCAAACACCCTGGAGGCTGTGGCGTGGCGGCCGGGCGCTGGTCAGCAGGGCAGGTTTGCCGCTGTCACTGCTGATGGCTCAGCTCTTCAGCTTGGGCTCGCTCTGCGCCGCCGCCACAGGAGAGCACATCCCCTTCCTGATGCAGCCAACAGGGTGAATCACACTGAACGGGGAGAATTCGTACCGGTCACGGGTCTCCTGCCTGACCCACAAAGAGCTGTTGGTGTTTTCCAGCTGGGCTCAGGTGACCAGCCAGCGCCAGCTGTTGCTCTGGGGATGAGCACTGCAAG